ACAACACTCTAGACAAACACCTTTTAGGCACAAAGGTTTCACACACACACACACACACACACGCACACGCACACACACACACACACACGCACATATCTAAAAGTTTGACCACCTTTGCACACTCTCCTCAGCAAACGGAGTCGGAGTCTTGTGCTCAAGGGTGCTCAAATGTTTTTCAGAGTTGACGCCTTGCACAACTGCAAACACTCCCACCTAAGGGCCATGGATCAGCGACAGTCAAGGTTTCTTGATTGCCTTGCTTTAGTCAGAAAATGCAGAACCTCAACGTGACACACGGAGTTTGGCACACGGATGCGAAAGGCTATGGTCCAGAGCACTGTCTTCCTGTGGAAATAAGAACTGGCCTGCTGGCGGATGCTCTTTCTCGGCTGTTCTGTGACGACCTGCCGAGAATCTGCCGTATCCACAACTGGCAACCCCAAAACATCCCAAAACAGACAGAACCCTCAGAACTTGGAACCCTGATGTGTGTCTCCGCGTTGCCTCTCCCCAGGAAGCGATCGGAGCCTCGCTGGCCTTCTTGACACCAATCAGGGTCACCTGACACAAGTCCGACTGCTTGCGCTGGCAAATGCAGCTGTCTTCCCATAGATGCTTGCAACTGACTAATTTATTTCGCTTTTCCAACTTGACGACCCCTGCTGACGGACGTGTGGGTTAGCCTGATAATTTCTTGCCATGGTAGAGAAGCTGCATCGGTACTCCTGGGTGTAATCAGACAGGAGAAGAGGGCGCAGGCAAAAAAGGCTGCAGATGGTTCATGTTCATCGCTGCTCGACGTTGCCGTCAGACTTCAGCAAGCATTTATCCAAAGCGATAGAATAGTCTTGTAATGAAATACTAGATCCGAAGTGCAGCAGGTATGAGCAAAGCATGCAGTGCTGTTGCAACAGCTCTTGCAATTTGGTTCGGTACGAAGTTTGGCTACGCCGTTGTTTGACGGTACGGATATCAAATCGAGAATGATGAAAGCGAGGGGCTGAGGAGAATCAGGAACCCTTCTCTTTGTTTTAGGGGATTCTGTCGCGAGGGGGATTGTTTCCGTAGATGAAGGCCATGAAGGAGGGACGGAAGAGTTGGTGTGGAATAGGAGAGCGAGGAAGAAGGACAGAAAGCAACCAAGGACTATAATCCTAATGATAGTAAATGCACGAAGAGTACTAGTAACATGAGGAACTACCAATCATCCTAATCATCTTAGGTTGTTTTTGACGTTTTCGGTATTGTGTGAGGTTGTGCCTGCAAGACAGCAAGGAAGAAAACACGGGAGCAAGGAAAGAAGCAAGGAGGCAAGAATGACAGCAAGGTTTCCTTATCAACAACTGCCACATGTCTCAATGGTTTGCCAGTGGGCGGGGCTGCGCCCCCCAAACCCCGGTCCTATTGAACATGAACCCATATCAGCCGTATCATGTCCTATATAGTGGTACCTCATCAACAACTGACACGTTCCTCAGCGGTGTGCAGATGGCGGGACTGCGCTCCCCAACCACCCGCTCTGTATGGACATGAACCCGTATCATGTCCTGTGGTGAAGCCTCTCCACAGCCCGCATCATGTCCAATAGTGAAGCCCCTCCAACAACTACCACATTAACCACATTCCTCAGGGATTTGCAAACGGGGGGGCTCCGCCCCTCGCCCAAACCCGCGCTCTTTTTAAGCACTGACCTGTATCATGTGTACTACTTGTAGCGCGCATGAGACACCTTCAACAATCAAGCGTCAGCTGCAATCTGACATTCAACTCAGAACAGCGAATCGCAGGCCGGCATGAAACATGATGTCAACAAGTCCGACCTCGTGCCCTTTCTGATGCAGTGATGTTGCCAAGCATCTTGCACGCGAATCGCCGACCTGACGATATTGGGACCGAACAGTGCCTGGCACTCTCTAGCCCGTCTGCTAGCCAGTTTGCATACAGGCCTTGCCAGAGACCCAGATATCACGAAGCCTGCCAAGCACATCTCTGCGGCTCAAGCCTTCAAGAGGCAGACGCGCGCCACCCTCCCTCAGGTCGTCCAGCGGGTATGTACGACATGGCCTGCCGGCCACAAGAGTCAGGGTTTTCTTCTCTGTGCAGGAGGCTGTCACACATGGAGCCTCACCAGGAGCACGGCGAGACCCACAAAAGGCCAAGGCCTAACTCCACCTCTTGAGCCCAATTTTGCCAATGCCAAAAACCATCTCTAGGCAATACTGTCGTCGCCTCACTGGTCGCATCTTGTCCTTATGCAGTCTTCGCTTCGGAGAGGGCATTTCGCAGAAAGGACGATTCACAGCCTTCTGACACTGGTTGCAAAGCCTCAAGCGCCCCAAGTAATACTGAGATAGAAATGATAGCAAAGATGTGTGCTGCAAAGTTGCTATCCCCTGCATGAGCAGTTTTGTCAACTATGCACCCGCAATGAGACATTAGGCCTGGTTTGCCCTTGTTCGCAGCACTTGCGCAGGAAAGCTTTCTGACATGCAAATGCACAAAACCGCCATCAGCATAGCATGCGTGGTACCAACATGAATCACATTGTGCACCCCCCCTGTCGCAAGCTTCCAAGCACAAATCCTGCATTGTGAAAAGCTTTAGGAGGCATAAGGCACCAAAGCTTCAAATGCAAGCTTCGCCTGTGCCACTTGCAGGCAGAGGCATGTTCAGCCAAGTAATGCTTAGCCATGCTATAGCATCTTTTTTTGGGGGGGGATGTGCTTTGAAAACAGACGCTCTTGTCTGCAAGTGTAGCCGACAATAGCCACGAATGGGCCGAGGAGTCAGACTTGTGGACTCCACTGCCAGCTTCTCAACCTGCAAACGCTCTTAGGCAGTATCTGCTACGCGGTAAGGGTGCAAGGAGGTACCACTACAATTTGGTGAATCGCGGAGGGCAACGAGTACAGCGACACCTCCAAACACCGGTGGCGCCCGTTTTGCTTTGCCATGAGGTGATACGCAAGGCATCCAAGGCATCACGAAAGAGACAGGTTGCACAGGTTGCGCTTGATTCGACCAGGGGTTTTCGATGTCAAGACTGCAGCACTGCAGTGAACTTCTCCTCAGTCTTCAGTCAGAGTGCGCTTGCAGGCCTGCGTACGCAACTGGCTCGCAACAACAAAAAGGATAGTGGCATGTTAGGCCTTTTTTAGCACCCAACCAGGCCACCTTCTGACTTCGCACTTGGCCAGCCATTTTCCTTGCGCGTGACACCTGCAGGGCACGCTGGAGGAATGTTCTGGACCTTGTGCATCTTGCGCATATGTCTTTCCAGATCGAGGCAAATTGCGTTTCGGGCCTTGTCTATGGCCTTCTGCTGCTTTTCAACCTTTCCCTTCTGCACTGCCTGCTCCTTGTGCACCATTGCACTTCTCGGAGCCGGAACATCAGCCTTGACACCGACATGGCCAACCCCCGTTTTCGGCTTCAGACAAGACGTGAATCTACGGAACAGAGCTCAAAGATAATGCTCAACGAATATGTCTCAACAAGCTTCAGAAGCAGTTTTGGTGGTCTCCAGAATATCACAAGAGCAAGCCTGCATCTCAAACAAGATGTATAGGTGTAAGGTTGTGCTGCCAGCGCTTCCAGCCTTGTCCCTACCGACAGCAGAAGCGAGTAGGCGTGGATAGGGCGACGCCTCATCTTTTTCAAGATAAGGGACACACGATTGTTGGTCAGTCCGGCTTGTCGGTAGATGATTTGCAAGCTTCTCTCAGCCTTGCATTTGCGTTCAGGCGGCGGGAGGGTCTCCAGAGGTCTGGAGCTTTGGAGGTTGTGATCTACAGCAATCTGCCGTGGGTGTGGGGTGCTCGTTGCACGTGTGTCCTACGTAAGTCTGGAATGATGCTCTTGGTGCCTCCCAGCAGAACATCCCAATCAAATCAACAAAGTGGCACAGCTGCTGCCTCTGCTCCAATCCCTGCCAGAAAGGTATCGAAACACCTCTGAACCTAAACCAAACCGCACTAGCGTTGCTAGCCCAAACGAAGGGAGATATGCCCTGAAACTCCAATGGAACCCCTCTGCGGAAACGTGAAAGGCACATTCCTGCATCGAACAACATTACAAAAAACGTCTCCAAGCAAGCCTTACACGAAGAGCGAAATCAAGACATCACACCAACTGTCTGTAGACAATACACTACGATACTCGTCACAAAGCGCCATCATGTCAAACAGCACTCTGATCGCAGGCTCTGCACCGAGTTGGCCCTAAGCTTCAGGCGTGCTGGCTAGGCGAGGCAGTGTCCACTTCCGGCTCTGGCTCGTGGCTAACCTGGCGATGACCACTGGCACTCAGCCCCCTGTATGCTTGTGAACTGCATGCACCCCTCGCCAGGTATCAAGACCGACAGTTTAATTTTGGCATTTGGTTTCCGCTCAAAGTACTCCTCAGGCCAACCAATGTAAACTGAGGCACAGCGCCGGCAGCCTTCTGCAGCAGCATTTCCTGTCTTGGCCTACAGTTCTCCTGGCCATCTCGAAGGCTGATGCAAGCAGGGACACTTCCTGGTGGCAGAGTCCGCCGTCTTGTGCGCTGGGCTAAATAACGTCTTGCTGGATGCAAATTCCATTGTTTTTGGCATGTCCTTCTTCAGACTGTCGATCATGTGTATCACCTTGTCGACACTTCTTGGTGAAACCTGCAGCAAATGTTTGGCTCATTTTGCCGCCCCTAAATGTCAAATATTCAAGCGCGCAACTGCTACGACTGGGCTCGGTAGCAAAGGCGCAAACCGCACCATATGCTTAACCTCCTGAACATGCCAACCCTGTACAAAAATCAACCAGCAAATCCACGTAGATAAACAAGCAGACCATTCTCGTGCCTGAGCCTGTTCCGGTGTCGGTGAAAGACGCCCTTCTGACTCCGGCTGTGACAATGGCTGTCCTGGCCACATCTTATGGATGCTCAGTTCTCGCCTTTTTTCAGAAGCCATGCGTGTACTGCCGAGTAGTAGATTGACTTGCGCTCAGGCGCTAGGATGGGAGGAAAAACCGTCGACAAACATATCGCAGCTGAGCTCGTTGCATTACGGCGTCATTTTGATAATGTCAGTTGTCATAAAGATAGGGATACACAGGTGAAAATATCAATGCGTTGGCCTCTAGCACACACTGCTGTCTGGATCGTCCCACCCGTCTGCATCCCACGTCGGACGGCTGTGCTGTGTTGGGGAAAAACTGGGTAGGTAACTTGTCCGTCTGAGCGGATCTGAATCAAAACCCTGAGAACATGTGACCTGCTAGCTTGGCCAGTCTAGCGTCCAACATCTGGGGAAAATTCAGCCGTCCAAGCATCCAATAGTGCGCGTTGCAATTCAATCGGTCTTGCGTTAGTGTTTGTGGAATCTCAGCTCAACATCTTGCGTGAGCTTGTACGGAGAGAAGTGCTCAATTGTTCGAAACTTCGTAAGATGGACTGCTTCAAGCCTGTACAGCGGCCAGATGAGAAGCTGTCACCTTGCAATCGGCGTTCGCATCTTTCCAAAACAAATGTAGCTTCAACCAAACACGTACGTTTTACAGCTTGAATATCTTTAGAAACTTCATGGCGAATACTGATGGTATGGCTCGAATTGTTTCCCAACTGAACAGCTTCGTGAGCCTTTGGCAAGGGAACAGTGTCACAGATATGTATGTCAGCTGATGCTTGCATGTGCATGATACAACATTTGCTCCGACTGAGCATCAACTCATATTGGCCAGAAAAGTGCTCTACCTGATGAGTAAGCTCATCAAGGTCCAGGGAACAAGATTTTGCCATCAGCAACATACTGCGTCATAATCTGGGTTGGGAATTCTTGCGATGCTCACATACCTCCTGCACGTTTGCTGTATGTTGTGATCTTTACACGTCAAAGCCAGCAAAAAAGGTTACGGGACAACGGACAACCTTGAGGAACACCAACGTTTTGATTCTTGAGGGTGTGTTTGGAAAAGATTTCTTCGATCACTTTGACAAACTTGCTTGCGAAACAGCGTAAACAGTGATGAGAGTGCTTTTTGTCACAACTTGTTTCTTTGGCCCACCCACGGCAGCTGTCAGGTTTGGGTGGACACAGAGAATCATTGACGGTTTTGCTTGTGGACGGCAAGTACGAAATAGATAGCGGTTCAGCATTGGAAATTGCCTCCGCATTCCTTTGTGCCCTTGTGTCATTGCTGAATTACATCGCTGGGTTGCCTGGTTGTTTGTTGCCTCAGGCGCGGTCAGGTATTTGCACAGGTGTTGGCCAGGTTTGATGTCTCCTCTCAAGGTGATGAACCTGACCATGGCTGCGCGCAGCTTCTTGGGCCAAATGTTTTTTGGCCATTTAGAACAGGTTCATTGATGAAGGCCGTGAATGCATGATTGAAGGGTATCGTAAAACGCCTGTTTGAGGTCAAGGGCATGTCATGCATGTCCACCATGCAGCGCATACATACTTGTCAAGGCGAAGCTCGAACAGCATGATCGAAACCGAGCCAACATGACACTCGGCTCAGTTGGCAGATTTCGCGCGTAAAGGCAAAATCTTTCTGTGGATTACAATTCGTACTACTGCATGTTCTCTGTCTGCCTTGTTGTTCTGAACATCGCTATTGAAGGAAAACACGCAAGCTTCGTGGGTTTCGGGACTGCTGGAGTTCACCTGAGTCTCAGACTGGACTTTGGGAGTGCATGTTGTTTCGCCTCGTGCAAAATCCAAGCTCGCCCCACCGCCTCCCACGTCCCCCCCCTTCTCTTAACCAAGCCATGAAAAAAATTACGGATCTCTTTGACGTCGTGCCTCTAGCTCAAGGACCTATTTATTTCGCTGGGCTTTGTCATGGATTTATCTACATCAGCAGATGGGCATGCATCAGGACTCCAAGAACTCCTCAACTTTGAGTTTTTTGAACCATAGGCTATATAGAACCTACGAGGAAATTCAATTAGAAGCGGAGGCCCCGCAATAAAACCAAGGTGTTTCACCACCCCCCTCGTTCACCTTCCCTCCAGGCTCCCCGACTTTCCAAATTTTCCAAGCCCCCGCCCCTCCGCCTTCAATTTAGAGGGCACACGCGAATTTTTTTTTAAGGACGGGGGGGGGGAAAGGGTGTTTATTATTACGTGGAAAGTCATATACCTACTTGCAGAAAGAGTAACATAGTTTCATAATGCTTTAGCATAATTTCATCTCAAAGAATTACAAAAGAAAGCGGATTTATGAGTATGGCCTCAGAGGAT